CGTGGACGAGTCGTTGAATTCCGCAGCCGGCATTGATAGGCTGGGCTCCGTCATCTTGTCTGTGGCCCTGCCGCTGGCGGCGCAGGGCTCCCTGCATCGGCAGATGTACGTGTCACAGCAGCAGCGGCCGCCGCTGACGATGACGCCCACGCAGCCCCAGCAGCCCCAGCAGCAGGCACCAGCGGCGGGCTGCAGTCCTCCAAACCACATTGGCCATGTCCCATACGAGGTGAGCTAAAGCACTGCGCGACGGTTACCTTCTCTCGTTGCCTCACTAGCTGTCGTACCGTACCCGTCGCATACCGTTGCAGCGATATTGACAGAGTGTATAGACTGTAACCATTTGACGGCTAATGCTGATTTCATGGCCCGTTGCTCTTGTCCCGCGCCCGTTCTTCTTTATCCCACAGCCACAGTACTCGAACGAGCCGTCTCTAAGTTCCATTCCGTCTCCGACCAAAGACGGCCTGGTCCGCCCCACCTCCGAGACCTCCTACCCTTCGTCTACCAGTGGTGAGGGCAGTGGGTGCTTGGAGAACGCTGCGGGGCCGGCGTCTGGGCCCGTACCAGCTTTCCCCGCCGTGCAGGAAGCAAACGGCAGCCTGGCCGCTGCTGCCGCCTCCGCTGGTGTTGGCGGGGGCGGGGGCAAGGGTGGGGCCCGGGGCGGGGGGGGGGGCGGGGCCCCGATCTGGCGGCGGCGAAACGCGTTTGTAGAGTGGGCGAACACGATGCATCACGAAATGGTGGTTGAAGAGCAGCCGCCTGGCGGAAGCAGCGCGAGTGGTGGCGGTGGCGGTGGCAGTGGCAACGGTAGCGGCAGTGGTGTCCCTGGCGGAGGTATGCCTGGACATGGCAACACGATGGCAGGCGGGGCAGGCGGCACAGAGCAGCACGCGTCATCATCATCGGGCTACAATGTCCCTTGGCGCTTGCGGCGGACACGCTGCCACCGGAGGGTGTGCAGTTCCAGTATGCGCCGGTAGGAGGCCTTGGAGGGTGCCCTTGGTGGGGAGCACGGATTAGTTGCTGGTCGGTCTGTCAGTCTGTCGGTCTGTCGGTTGGCTGGTTGCTCGGGAGTCCATGACAGCTCGGTAGGATTGGAGGCAGTAGACGCGCTGCATCTTCCACCACCATGCATAGGTGTGTGGCGCCGTGTATGGTTTGCAAGGCCAGGTGACACTGGCACCCGCATGCTGCCTGGGCTCGCTGCGGGTTGGTCGGAGGCGTACCAGCGGGATGCGGCTGTGTGTTGAGTAACCACTGCTCGAATCCACTTCTATCCATCCACACACGCGTGCGAGGGAAAAGGATACCACCCCGCCGCCTTCACGCGTCTCAATGGCTACCTGCTCGCCCCGTGATTGCTTACCGCCACATACCCCATCCACTTACCCCAAACCACCACATGCATGGCGAACTGCTGACGAACTGCTGAGCAGGGCGTCTACATCACGTTGAAGCCACCGGCACAAAAAGGCGGCCCGGTTCGGCTGGTCAAGGTTCGCTTCAATCGCAAGATGTTCACGGAGCAGTCTCAAGGCCAGGCCTGCTGGAACATGCACAGGGCGACACTGGCGGAGATGTACGAGCTGACCTTCGACATGGGGAACAAGGTACGTGCAGGCGACCAGTGGCCGCGTGTGTGTGTGTGTGTCTGTCTGTCTGTCTGTCTGTCTGTCTATCTGTCTGTCTGACGACAGTGCTTCTGGCCGAGAGGTCGGGAGAGGCCAAGAGGCTGAAGTAGATGGCTGTAGGGAGGACTGGCCGGGACTTCGGGTTTGCGGATTCAGTACTACATACTCGGAATGCATCTTTTTATGCCTTTTCCTTCCTGCCTTGACTATTACTTGATGAAAATAGATGCGCATCACCATTTTTGATGAATATCCAGGCACCTGTAGCACCATCATCATCACCGCCGGGGTTGCCGCCGCTAGCTCCCGGTTCACACGGCACAGTTCCCCCGGCCGCCATGCACACCCGCGGCATGAGCACCGACACACAAGGGACGAGCGCCGGCAGCACCGCGGCGTCGGGGAGCAGTAGCATGTACTTCTCCGTCCCAGTCAGTAACAGCCCCCTTCACGGGGTTGCAGCCTCTGGCGCCGCTGGCGGGGGCGACCTTGCGACGGGTTCAGCGGGGGCCATGTGGCGTTCTGTCGCGTCAGCGGTAGCTGGCGGCGGCGGTGGCGGTGGTGGCGCCGGCGGCGGCGATTTCGATATGACTTGGACTGAGCTGAACTACGACAGCCAGGCCATGATGGTGTTGCCGCCGCCGCCACCTGTGGGGACTATGGG